GGTGTGGATGGATCTTCACCAAAATTGGTATGGAGGTTCATTAGGTCAATGCGGGGGTACATACAAATTTTCAGTTTTGCGATTTTATGGGTGTTTTATTTTAAAACTGTCTCATATCCTGTGGATGGATCTTCACCAAATTTGGTATGAAGGTTTTTTTGGATTTATGCAAAATCGCGGTTTCATATTTTGCGGTTTCTATGGGCGTTTCTGCGTTTTTTACAATTACATATAAGGGAAGCAACTTTTCATGTTCTAAGATAACCTTTCATAAATCATGAATTTACATAACTTCCGTCCAGGGGATGGGTACCCCATCTAGTATACAATAATATTTTAAATTTTTTGTATGATATTAATTTAATATTCTACTTTATTTAAATCAGTCATTTGTATTTTTATTTATGGCAAAGCTACTAAGATTATCTCTCACCGTTCTTAATATTAAACTAATGATTAGATGAAAAGCACTTACTTAGCAGCATCGTACCACCCACCGTCTAAGTTAATGGATTGACCCTCACTCTTTTAGCCTCCCAGTGGCACAGCGGCATGTCTACGGACTTACAACGCTAGAAACTGGGTTTCGATACTCGTGGTGGGCAGAGCACAGATAGGCCATTGTATAGCTTTGTGCTTAATTACAAACAAACAAAATCACTCTTGTAATCAGGCTAAATTGTGAATGTTAAAATAAAACTTAAAGCATTTTTCTAATGAATACATGTGTTTAACACGTTTACGAAATAATAACATGTCAGCTGTCATTACAACAATAGTGAGATACGATACAATGCATACGGAATTACAACAATTGAGAAACTATGACAATATTTCCAGCAACATCTTATAGTTCATTTACTTCGCCTTTTTCTGATGCCTTGCAGCGTTGAGGAGAGACAAATAGAACGGTATCTTGCTCCTTTATTCGCCTCCTGTATCGTCATGTTCCAGAGGGCGCTAAGGACACCTTTAATACATCTGCGTGGTCATACTTTTGCCTTCAACCCGTTTACCTTTATATTGAATGCTCTTTGTGGTAGATAATTTGAATGTTGTCTAACTAGGTGTTTGTTTACCTTCGTCCTTATGTCTTCGTTACGTATTTTGTTTCTGTTGGTAACACCAAGAATTTTACTGACGCACCTCATGTGTCCATGTTTGGCGCTTATAGCAAAGTGTTGTTGTGAAGATGGTATCGTAGAGAGTTCTTCTGTGTGTGCTGTAACCAAGGTGTAAATTGTACAGTCTTTGTAGGGACTTTAAAGACAGAAGTTGAAAGCTTACTCAATAAACATTGATCGTGAAAATGAAAAACCCGATTGAGTTGTTATTATTATATTTTATGATACTCATTTTTAATAAGGTGTACGGTAGAGATGCTGTTATCGTCTTCTTGCTACATAGGACTAGTACAGAAAGATCACGCTTTGCCAACATAATAATTGATATTGTAGATGACTGACATAAAAATCTTTCTGTATGTATGTCCACCCGAACCGATGTGTTTTCGATGTCTATTACGAGAGATATTCTGCCTGGAATGATGTTTTAATCTTGAGTAAACGTACTTATCACTCATTTAAGGGTTTCCTTGATGCATTCATCATTATGCTTCTTACAAGGAATAATGAATTTGTAAATTATTTGCTTAGGAATGCTGAAGAAAGAAGACACAAGTGTCCGAAACGTAGCGAAAACATACTATTGAAAGTAAGATGTCCGATAATAAGAAGTTACCTGTTCATTCGTTCTTTCCAACCATATCTCTCAAACAGCATAAAGCGTATCTTTACGTTTCATTAGACGTTAAACTATTTACGCCAATTTATGCTTAGTTTCATTTATAACGAGCTTATTTTATAACGTCAAACTGACCCGTTGAGCCTACAATTTATTGAATTTGAATCAACGACAACTTAAATATAAGAGTAAGGTAAATACAAATTTACGTAAAGTCTGTAGCTATTGTAAGTTCTCTAGTCCAGAATTGTGTTCCTCATATAATTGCACTGACGGAAGACCGAGAAAGACATATCTCTGTATTCAGTTGTCACGAAACAGATGTTGTTTAGGAGACGTCGA